GCAGCAATGACGACCAGGAATATAACAAAGTTTAGTGAGAGGAAGTTAATTTGTTCTGCCTGCTGGAGAATCTACCATTTGCCACCGCTGTGACATCAAGCTCGAGTTCTGGAGTTTGAAGATGATGGTGAACAATGATCCAAAATGCAAAAATAAATGAGGGAAGGGGTGGGAAAATAGATTGGGAAGCTGAGGGAGAGAGGGAAAGAAAGAGAGAGAGAGAAAGAGAGAGAGAGATCGGTATTGAAAGAGAACGAGAAGGCAATGTGTCGTGTTCAGATCCGCGCCGCTACAATTAGTTGCAGCGGCAGCGGCGATGACACCCCTTCAAACGAAAACAGAGGAACGCTGCTGCAATGAGTTATAGTACCTTTCATCGTTGCTTGAACCAGAAGCAGCGACGACAATTTAACCTCCGATTTCTCTTCTTCTCTCACACTTTCTCTTTTTTTTTTTCTTCTCCTTCTTCTCTTGCTGGTGGAACCGGCACAGCCAAAACCAGTTGGCAAGCAGTCATCGGCAAAGGTAAAGAGGTGGAATGAGATAAAGCAAAGACGATGCTACTGCAACTTCCGACTGAAACCGATTTCATGCCCTTGCTGTATAACTAACCTATAACTTCCGCTCCGCTGCAACTTCCTCCGCCACCATGTACTTGATCGGGAATTGTTGTTCAACTTGCAACTTCCGGTTTCATGTAGTTGGTAGTTTGAGTTGTGGATTTGAGAAAGAGAAAAGATCGGAGACTCTTTGTTCTCCAATGCTCGGAGTTGTACTGCAGCGGCTCAAATCTCTGTTCTCTGAAAGAAGAAAAAGAAGTGGAAGGAGAGGAGAGAAAGAGAGGAAGAGAGAGAAGAGAGGACTTGCAGTCGCCGCCCTTGTTCTCGTTGCAAGATTAAAGAGATGAACCGTGCGGACTTGTACTACAGCCTGTTTTTGGTCTCCGTGTCGGACTGAAAACCGCACTTCTCATTCTCATGCGCATGCTCGTCGACTCGGTCATCTGTCTCCGTAAAGAAAGAAGGGGAGAGAGACCAGAGAAGAGGCAGAGGGGGAGGTCCAGAGAGGAGGGGCCTTAGAGGACGAGGGTAATATTGGGTTTTGAAAGAATTTTATATGTCACGTGGAGTCACATGTGCACAAATTGTAACAATAAACGCTAACGACAGGGGCAGAGTTAGTCAATTGTCAAAAACAGTAAAGGTAATGTTTAGTCAATTTTCAAATAGCAAGGGTATACTTAGTCAATTAATTAAACTACTAAGGTAGTTTAAGAAATTTACAAAATACCAAATTTTTTTGCATTTGATTGCATAGAGAAAAATATAAAAGAAAAAATGTTAAATAATTGATTGGTTATCTGCAAGACTGCAACGACAATGAGGCACGTGTTTTGATTGCCATAGTCCTAGCACTTGCCTAGGTGAGAGAAACTGGTTTTCTCAGACCTCCCCTTGGGCATGGTGTGCTGCCAATCTTGTGCCATACCATGCCTCTGTGGTACACATCTTTGACAACCATGAGCTAGACGTTTAGACCAAAACAAAATAGTAATCATGTATCAAAAAAGCAGGGTAGGATCCAGTTATAATTTTTCTTACAAAGAGACTGAACCCAACACAAGCATTCTACATTTAAGAACCAAAACTAATATTTTCAGCTCAGACTATTAGAACCAGCAGATACAGAAAACATTAAAACATTGTTTTCTTTTTCTTTTTTCTTTTTTTTTTGACCTAATGGAACAGAAGACTTGTACATGTTTTCCCTTCCAAAATAAAGACGAAAGTTAGAAAATAAAATTTGGTGTACAACTTAAAAAATAGAACAGAAGGATTTATAATGTTGTCGATTCTGCATTTTCTTTTTCCCCGTCTTTGGTAGGCTATGATGGTGTACAACTTGTTTGTGAATCTTTCAAGATATCATAGACTGGTTTCTATGTTTCCATTAGGAAAAAAGAAACAATATTTCTGATCTTGAAAATGCCAAGCATAATAAAATTATTTCGTCTTCTGGAATTTAATATATAGTTCTAATAAGCCCCTAAATAGTAATTGGCACTTAAAAAATCGAATTAAAAGGAAAGAAAGAAAGTACAAAGATTAGAACAAAAATAAGTGTATCCTGCTGCTGACTCAGGTAGTCTGTTTTTAACAGTTCAAATGTCAAACAAGGATAATTGTAGGTGTGCACTGAGAGAAGATGAGGACAGGTGGAAGAGGATGAATTAAGTCTTTTAGGGGACACTGACAAGACTAACTTGTATGTCTTGGGTATTTTGTAGATGGTAAAGACTAACTTGTTTTTCTTTGTTTACTTTTTCTTTTTCATTAGCATAGGAGGTAGTAATGTTGTAAGAGTCTGGAGAATCAAACAGGCAGAAGCTCATAAACGTATAGACCAGACTTCTTATTTCCATACCTCCCTTACTGCGTGTGGGTCAGAGTGGTTTCTCCACAGCACTAAGAAAATTGTCTCTTCAAGACACTGAATGGCTCATTTATAACATACAGTCTTCTTTGTTTTGCACATCTTTCACCAAGCAGCATTGCCAGATGCAGGATTACTCATAATATCTGCAATAGAAAGCAACACCATAACCGGAGAAAGAAGATCATTCTCTAATATAGCATTGAGTGGCAGTGGCAGTGGCAATAGGTGGATCAAACATGTCCAGTGGAGATGATAGCAAGGTCTTTCATCAATTTTAGATAGAAAAGTGTCATTAGCACAATTCTTTTCCCTGTACCACTTAGAAGGAACCTGGGCTGATTTCTTAAGGGGTATGAAGGGAGAAAAGAAACTTGTATCCTCAGCATTGCTAGAACAGAGAAAAGTTGATACATATAAAACAGATTAAAAAAGAGTGAGTTTTTAAGCTCAAGTAAGAGAGAGAATTGAGAATGAGGGTTTCCTTTCCTTATCTTGGAAAGGAACACCAAGCCTTACCACTCAAACATATTAACATTCTTCCTCTTTTTGAGAAGAAAGGATGCACAACCCATCAGAAGAACTTTACAGTATTGGAAAACCATGAATTTGGAATTCTTGACGTCATGCATACATATCAAATATCATCCAATACGTATATAGGAGATAGAAAACTATAGACAATATGTATCGACTTATTTCAAGCATTAAAAGTAGGTCAAAGGAGATATTAGCAGGGGGCTCTCAGTACATAAGATGGGGCCTTCAGGTTTATCAATAGGCTCCCTGAGGATGTAATTTGCTTAGTTCTGAAACTTTAAACTTGTCTTTGTAGGCTGCTTTATATGGAGAACTAAAAATGCAACTAAACCGTTTTGAATGTAATCCAGGTTTAGTGGTCCTACAAAGGGGGTCTTGGATTATAAAAACAATCTCAAAAGTGTTACTAAGCATGCACTCTTACCTAAAAATCAATGTTTCTTGGATGCAACAAACTTGCCTGTTCGCCATCATCAATCAGTTGATCAAGGACATTAACAATTAAATCCGCCAACAACTAAGAACAGAATTTAGCAAATGCCCTTTGTGACAATGCAAAAGACAAGCATGCCCTCAAGAACTCTATGCCCAAGCTGTTGCCTATGCTCATGCATGCTCTTCACATAAGCAGCTCCTAAAGCACCAAAAATACAAGAGGAAATGCGTGTCCTAACTCTCATTAAGAAATAACATATCAATGCACGAAACTTCTTATTCCTAAAAATTGTTCAACTGTTACCAAAAAGAGAATAAAAAGCAGAAAGATCATGTGTTTGGAAAACAGGTCACCACTTCTAATTCCTGCTTGGAGAGTTCTTGAGAATGGTTGTTAACATAATAGTTTTTGATACCAATGGCCATAGGTCACATTTTTTTCTGCCCAACTACTGCTCTGCTGTTAATGGTTTGACTCTTGTAAACAAATTCTAATGAATAGATAGATAGACGATAGATATATATACAACAAAAAGAAAGAAAAACAGTTTTACACACAAATCACTTGTCTTAGAAGCTTAACTCCCTAAAACAACACCACCCCTCAAGTGCACTAAGCATTAAAACTGAGTGTAGCACGAATAACCCAATCTCATTATTATATTCTATGAGCTAATTTGAATTCAATCCAACTGGCCACAAAGCATTATATGAATAAAATTCAGAAACACCACCTCAAGCTCATGAAATACCTTAGAAATCAAAAAGAAAATTTAACCAGTGTATGTTGGTAAGTAACAAGAGTAAAAATTAGAGTAAACTAACAAAATCAATAGACAAAAATAAACATCTTTCTTTCATTCAGGAACTTTCTGAAAAATTAATTGAAACCTATATAATCTCGGATAACCAGTGTATTCACCTTTTCTTTCCATTAATCATCAAATCCAGAGAAAAAGAACAGGTGAATACAATACCATTCCAACAGGATGATGAAGACTACATAGAACAGATCATCAACCTTTATCAAAGAAACAATGGAAGAGTCTAGGAGAGAGAAGTGAGAGAAGACATAGAAGATAAGAGAGAAATCTTACCAAATAGAGATGTTCATCAAGGTAGAAGATCATTGGCAGCAGCAAGGTTTGAATATCTTTGATGAAGAGAGAATCCGTTGTCAAAAAATAAATCGAAAGAATGAGGCTCGAAAATTTTGCTCAGTTGAGGGACAATAATTTTTCATGCTGCAGGCTAGTGTTATTTTTAGCCAGTGGCCCATTTTTAATTCTAAAATGAATTGGAGACCCATGGCAAGAATTTTATGACCAACCACTCTCATATTATTCATTCTTTCTCATTGAGCAAGAATCAAAATAATGAGGCCAGTGGCAATAAAGCAAACATGGCCTAAATATGATGGGTTGGTAGTATCAAATGAGGCAAGGTAGAATAAACAGTTGATGATCAATACTGTCCCCAAAAACCTCAAATAAAAGAAATTATTGTTAAATTAGATATTCTTTTTCTTTAGTTATACTTGCCATGATAAGACCAACGAGAGAAGCTTAAGTACCATTAAGAGAAGTGGAGGTGTAAACAACAAGTAATAAGGGCTTTGGAATTGCAGGGTGCCTTAAATGAGATACAAAAGGTAATAAAATGAATGAACTCAAGGCACAGTAGCAAATATTATGTGCATCCATGAGGTCAAGGCCTAAACCATTCATGTAGGCAAGGATATGCCTTAGTTGATACATAGGCGAATTTCTACTGGCATCATAACACCTGGATATATGCCAATTGAGTACATTTATCTATCCAAAGACTTGCTTGATGATTATGGGTTCCTCTTAACTCTAAGAAGGGAGGCGAACAATGTCCACAAAAATTAAGAATATTCATGATATACATGTTATACACTTGAAAAACTGAGGAGATTCACCTATACATGCTATTTGCAGAATCTTATTGAATGTCAGTTAATTCCTTTTAGAATTCTTAAGATTCCGTACTGTCATTATAAGTTGTTGCCTCTCACCTTCTACCTCTGCAAATTTGAGACTTATTGCTGAGTATCTTTCTTCCATTTCTTTCAGCTCAACTTCCATTATTTTATTCCTCTCTTTCAGTAATGCCATTTCACTTAACATTTCTGCAATGTTTTCTTGATCCCTGGTGTTGAGGGTGGAGACGTTCAGTTCTTTCTCTGACCAAAATTCCTTGTTGCTGCATATACAGGAGAAAATAGCACTAAATTGTCAAAAGAATAGAATAAGAGCATAATTCACAGCATGTCTTCAAGTAGAGACCTGGGGTCAAATCCCACTACCACCAGGGTTAGGGGGTTAAGGGGAGGGGGATGAGCTAACCTCCATTGTGTAGCCCCATGATATAATATATATATATATATTAGTCTTATGAGGTAGAACAAAACTGAAATTACCAAAGTTGTAATGGACAAACTTCTACCTTTTGGTAGGTGCTCTCTCCATGTCACTTTGATCAGAAATATATGATCTAATGATCTTTTCAGAATCTAGAAAGTTTTTTCCCTTATTTCTTCCTCCAGAGCTACTATCATTTCCGTCTATGTCCTCTGCACCTTTAGGTTCCTGTTTCTCAAATATGAACCATCACCAGAATTAGTAGTTAGTACATGGTTGGAAGGTAATAAAAGTAAATTGTTGGACTTAGGCAAGAACTATCCATTTAGGTTTGCATCTTGATATTAAAATTTGGATACTATGGCTTGAAAATAGTTAAACAATGGCTGAAATTTTTGAAAAATGTTTTTGTATTAGAGGATTTTCTCCATTTCTTCATGTATCCCACCTAGGTATGATAATGGAAATGCTTTTCCTTTTTCTCTTTTTCAATGGTAAAATGGATTGACCTTTCCATTAATCTTAATATAAACAAATCAGGAGATACGAATCTAAAAAATGTTCTAAGTTTGGACTTTGGAATTCCTTCTGCTATTTGAAAACGGCATATTTTGTTCAAAATGGCAAAAAGATTGAATTCAGGAACTTTTGCATTGAACATGGTAATTAAATATCCTATAACCTGTTATCAAACGCATTAATGCAGTGTAGGTATAAAAGTTACTAACCCTTTGGAGTTGATCTTCACAAAAGCTAGTACTTTTCTGACTCAGATCTTCCAACCTGTTTTCTAGTTCATAAATACTGTTTTGCAAATCCTTTTCCCTGTCTATGAATGAATTGGTTGAGCTTTCTAGTGCAGTTTCTTTTATCCTCATTCTTCCCTGTAAGACATGGTGATACTGTCAGTACTGGGAATTATCTAGCACTTCATTTTCCCAGTGAAATCTGTGAAAACAAAAATCTACAAACACAAAGGAGATGGAACTCAGATTGTGTGGAAGCACCAAAAAGTGCTTCTGGGATATAACAAGATAATAAAAAGGTTTTACTTTTCTTTTTCTTTTTCAATCTGTGATATAAATTGCAAACAGTTGTCATATACCATTGGATAATCCCAGTCTTGTGATCTTCATCTTGCTTTATGCATAAATGATGGTATACAATTTCTGATAAAATATATATCTTTGACAAAATATATTTTATATTTCTGATAAAATATCAAAGGCTGCACATTTACCTTGAGCAATTTACTTTTCTCACGCGAAATAGCAACGTCCTTTGGGCCATTAGAAATTTGGCTAGATTTGTTGTTTCTAAAAGTTGTTTTTGTTCCATCTGAAACTTTGACCCGTGTAGTGCCATCTTTGAGTTTCTTCTCCATAATTATAATGATATCTTCCTTCTTTTTTAGGTCAACCTTAAGATTATATACCTGTTTCCTCAGGTTCTCCTTCTCTAACTCACCCTCAAATAATGATTGTTTCAGGTCGTTATACTCAGCTCGAAGTGTCTCCACCTCCGATTGTAGAATTCCAACCAGTGCCTCCTTTTCATCCTTTCGATGCTTCTCACTATTAAGTTTCTCTACTAACCTATCTGTTTCTTCCATCAATGAAGCACCTCTTTTCTCCAATTCATCCCTTTCCAAATTTCCTTTTTCTACCAACTTTTTCATTTTGTTTATTGATGACTTCAGTTGTTCCATCTCATCTATTAATTGTTCATTCTCTTCTGCCTGTTTGGAGAGGTCATTTTTCTCTCTTATAAGTATTTCTACCTCAGCTCTGAGCATCAGTATCTCTTTTCTAGAGGCCTCAAACTTTTCTTCCTTGTGGTACTTTTGATTTTCAAGTTCTGTGGTTTTGTCTTCAAGTTCCAACATCATATGCTTTGCTTCTTTTGACTTCAGATCTAATTGGTTTGAAAGATCCAACAGTTTTGCTTCATATTGATCTCTAACCAGTACTATCTCTTCATTGACTTTCTCAAGCATTTCTTCCAAATGGCTTTTCTGCATACGCAGTTCACTAACTTCTGTCAGTGCTTTCATTGCCATCTTCTCATTTGTATCAAATGTAGATGCCATTTGCATGGAAAGCTTTTTAAATTCTTCCTGAAGCCACTCCGCTGTTTTAACATTATTCCATCTTGTCTGCCTCAAGGCCTCCTCTGCTTGGATGGCCCTCTGTTCCTGCTCAACTTTTGCATGTGTCAAGACTTCCAGATCAGCTTCAAATTCTTCTGCCTGTTTATCAAGCTCCTTCTTCAAGTGCTTGACCTGGGTTTCAAGTTCTTGTATAGTAGCCTGTGAGGTTGAAAATTCTTGTGCCTGCTTCTTGAGTTCTTTCTCCAACCTCTCAACCTGGCTTTCCAGTTCATTTATAGCAGCGGAAGATGTCAAGTACTCATACTGCGCATTCAGTTGTTCTTGTAGTTGATTTTGCTCAAGCTTTGAAGAGATATCATGGTTTTCTTGTTTCAATATCTCATAGTCCAGGGCAAGCTGCTCCATTTGCATCTCTAGCTCCTCTCTTTCTCTCCTGTATATCTCTATTTCACTGTACAGGTCTATGATCTTTAGCTCAAGCAAGTGAGTTTCCTTGCCATCATCCTGCTCCTTAACTATTAGTTCCAGTGCTTGTTTTTCATCATCATCCATCTCATGCTTAATGAATGTTTCCTGCATCTTTTCAGCATTCTCATCGATTGCTGACTTATAGGAAAGAAGGGATATTGCTCTATTTTTCTCCTCCACCATTTCCTCCAAGTTCCTTACAGAAAGAATCAACTCTGAATTGGATTCTTGTGTCTTCCGTAGTTGTAAGCGAAGATTGGCATTCAGTTCCTTTTCACAATTCAGCTCTTGTCTGATTTCTTCTAGCAGAGCCCTCGCATCCTCACTCTCAAACTGTAGATTGCTTGAACCTTTTGCTTCTTCAACATGTTTTTGCAAGGCCTTTAGTTGTAGACACTCTCTCTTAACTGTATCTCTCTCCTCCTTCAGGCTAAGAACTTCTTTTAAGAGTTCCTGTCCCTTTCTGTTCTCCTTCACAATCTGCTTTCTGAGAGTCTGTAGTTCCAGCTCTGAAACTTCTGCCTGCCGGGCCAAAGCAGAAAGATCACTTTTGAGCTTTTCAATGGAGACATCTGAAGCCTGTGAAGGTCTTTCTTTCACAAGGGTATCCTCGGAACTACATATGAAGTTCTCAATACTTCCATCTGGAGCTGAATCCCCTGACCAATCTGTGATCGATCTCCTGTGCACATGATTGTTTGTTGTAGTCATATTAGCCATTGGCTTCTGAGGCAAGGAGCTGTGGTTAAAAGATGAAAGGAAGCTGGTAGGGTCCTGATAAGAATTGCTATTGTTATTCAATCCAAGTTCCTGTGGTTTATTCCATCCTGAACTGCTCTCTGAACCTGGCCCTGCTGTAACATCAGAGTGGATGGATGCTCTGACGTTTCTGTTAACTTCAGCATTCTGAGATGTGGTTTTATGCCAAGGCTCTTTCTGTGAACAATTAAGAACAAATAAAGAGAATGTATTAACATTTAACAACACCTTCTTTCATGACGTTTTTTTTTTCATGAAACCCAAATACAGAATATATCTATTATGTCCTTCAACATGATAAGCCATTCTAGAATTGTTATAGGAGAAAACATCCAAGATTTATATTCTCTGGAAATATGAGATGAAACCTTACTTCTGTACCATCATGGTCATCACTTTTGTCTCCATCTGAACTGATCATCCCGCTCCCCAAGTTCCTCTCTTGGTATTTAATCCTTGGATCTCCATTTTCTTCAACCTCTCTGCAAATGCTCCAAATGAAAAGAAGTAAAATTCTATTTGGAGCATAAGAAAATGTAAAACGTAAAAATACATAAAGGAGGAAAGATTTCATTTTCACCTCTGATCCACATTCCCATGTATTCTCTGAATTGTAACCTGTATCAATAATCACACCACAATCGTTATGGCCTCTGTGGCTAGTTATGATTGAATCATTGAATTTGATACCTGAACCGAAATTGCAATTTCATTGGTTTTGTAGATTAATATGCCTATTTGTTTTTACGAGCTATAATTTACAAGAATGATAAGTTCAGGGAATAAAAATACTAACATGCAGTACTGCGTCAGAATTTGAATTTTTAAGGGGCAGAGAGATGGAGGAAGGTTTAAAAGCCTCTGCATAATCTGCAAAATCAATAGACACTTCTCCTAGAAGGCCAGATTTTGATGATCCCTGTGAGATAACCCATAAACTTAGAATGCACCAACAGAAACGTGGAAAGAATAAAAAGAAAGGACTCAAGCAAAGAACTGAGAGAGATCGGAACCGTAGCATACGGTGGAAACAAGGAAGTGGTAAACTTTCTTGTTAATTTTCCCCGTCTTTGGCTCCCGTACAAATTTTATTGTCTCATAAATTGGATTATCCCAGCGACAGGTTCCATCCCGAACTGCAAGTTTGTCCAACCTCACCGTCGGTTTTCCGGCATCAACTGGAAGGAGGGAGACCATCAGAGTCTCCCATCCTAACTGAGGCACCTGTAAAGAATGAACAGAAATCAAACAAAACGAGATCATGTGCTCAATTCGCTCGAATTTTTCAATCGCATTAATGATATTATAGACTTGTGCTTTCATATTCTCTAGAGTCCACATATCTTAATAAATAAATTGAAAAGAACTGAGGAAAAAACGAAAATGAAAACTCCCCATTTATGATTAGACCACCCACAATGAGAATTCACTTGTAATATATGAAAATCATAATACCTGGGTTGCCTGGAACTGCAATTTGAATACAGCTTTGGTCTTGTTCTTTTCACTCCTCCATCTCGCTGGCTTGAACATTTTTCGCCCACTGTTTCAGCTGCACATTTCCATACCAGATGGAAGCCTGCAGTCTCACAACCAGAAGTCTAAGCTCAGGTCTCGCCTGATAATTGTTTCCAACTAACAATGCCGGCAAGTATGAAGCAGAAGAGAACAAATCGAAAAAGGAGCAGGAAACTTCTGCGTTCGACCTTGCACCTCATTTGGGGATAAAGAGACGTATTACTGTAGAGAATTTGGACATTAGCAAGAATGGGGCAATTGATCAGTGAGAGGGCAGACGGATATAGACACAAGTGAGAAGAGAAAACGGAGTTACGACATCGAATTATCCCAAAATAAGCGATCAATCATAGGAACAGGTGAATCCGAGAGTAGGAAGGAGAACAGTCACTTGTATATCCGAGAAGTTGTTCGTCTTCTGTTATTTTCCTTGTTAACAGTAATCTGTTAACAAATCGAAAATGGAGCCATGGAGGGGTTGGATTAAAAAATAAAGGAGAACCTTCTCTTCTCTTGATATCTTTCTTCCGCGTATAAAAATAGTTTACAGAATTTTTTTTTTTAACCAGAAGGCAATTCATTCATCCATAGCATCACTACAAGCCATAGTCCTTTTGAATAATATTAGGAAGTTTACAGAATTTAAAATCATATTAAGAAATTTTTTCATATGTCATATTAATGTCTGCTGGTTGCTTGCGGCAGGGGAACACCGTCAGAATGACGCAAATGACCCTCTATCTCTTTTCATTTTCTTTCATATTCTTTGCTTTGGACTTCGGACAAAATTCAAATGTTAAAAAAAAAAAAAGCATCGTGGAGCACCGGAACTGGAAGTAACGGATCCGCTGTTCCAAAATGACTAAAATGCCCATCATCAATCTCCTCTTACGTACTTATAAAACTGAAAAAAAAAAAAAAAGAACCGGACCAATCCACTGTTCCCATTCATTCCTGGGGCTTAACGTTTTCGTCGTTATTTATTATTATTATTATTACAGCTGTCAGTCATGGACAAGGATTTGCTTGTCGCCAATTACCACGTGGTGGACTTCATCATTATTTTGGAAAGTGATTTTCTTTTCTAATTTAACTTTTAGGCCCTGTTTGGTTTGATAAAAATAAGAGACAGAAAATTGTAAGTTTTCCCTCACTCAACGTAGGCAAATTTTTACAAATCTTGTATAGATTTCAAGGTTCAAAGTACCAGAAACGCCAAGTGTATTGAAAAGGCAATTTTAAGAAATGTATCGGGATACATCTTCAATATGCATGTGTATCGGAGAAAAACTAAGATATGCATAGATACACTCAAAAATATTATAAATACTTTAATAAATCATAAAAATACATTAATAATACTAAATATAAGACCTCAATGAGGTGTATATACATTAAATTAATATATTTTAATGGTTTTATGAAGAAATATATTGTAGATAATTATAATTTCATTAAAAATCCTATGCTTAACTATAATTTATAAATTATAATTCTTAAGTTTTAATGTTTTATGGGATGGGAAAAATTCAATTCTCCTATCCAACCATAAAACATGCATTGGCACAACTTCTAAGTGAAAATATAATCAATAATTATTTATTATTTATTTTCAAAAATTATAAAAAATAAATAAACATTATATAATATATTCAAGAAATAGTTATTAAAGAAGAAATTTCAATTGCTTTGTGGATATGGTAGATCATCCATATAATTATAATATATTCAATCATTGTGATCAAATGATAAAATATAATTATTTATTTATTTATTTTTTTAATTCTAAAAATATAAAAATAATAAAAATAATTATTAAATAAGAAATTTTAATTGATCTATGGATATGAAAGATCATCCATAGAATTATAATATATTCAATTGTTGTGATCAAATGATAAAATATAATTAATTATTATTTATTTTTTAACTCTAAAAATATAAAAAACATAAAAAATACTAAAAAAGAAATTTCAATTGCTATATGGATATGATAGATAAATCCATAGATATAAAACATATTTAGTCTTTATAGACAGAGAAAAATTATATTTTCAAATTTTTTATTAATTTATATTTTCCCCAAATATCTTCATGGATTTTCCATAAATTTATTAATAACACAAAAAAAATTATGATTTTGAATGTAAGAAATGTAGACCAACATAAATTTCAACATTTGAGAAAAAAATCACAATATATTATAAAAAATTGAACACATTTACCTATTTTTGCCATATTTTTTCAAAATTTGAAAAAAATTCAAAAAAATTAATGGTTCACACTTATTTCTAATAATTTTTTGCAATTCTAGCACTCTAGGAATGAAGTTTGGAGTTTTAGAGTCATTTGGGGGTGAAAAAAGGCTTATTTCAAGGAAAACAAGTTTGCTTTTCCCCTTTAATTTTTTTTTTTAGTTTTTGGCTATATCTTTTTCGTCGATATGCTATTGATACACCCCCCATATGCCCCCGATATGGTCCGATACGCATGAAAAAAGATGAGACATCCGATTTCCATGCATATCCCATATTTGTTTTTCAAAGATACGATACGATACGCCCCGTATTGGGCGTATCGTATCAAAATTTTAAACCTTGATAGGTTCTCTTATCTTTCCCTTCATTTCCCTATCCTTTCCTTCAAACCAAACATAGAGTTAGGGTTCTCAAACATTATGCCATGTTTGGGAGTGCTTAAAAATAAGTGCTTATTTGGGCCATTAAGCACTTATTAGTATTTGGGAAATAAACCTGAAAATTGAAATAAGTGCTTATTTTAAAAATAAAGTCTTATTTTTTAAGCCCAAATCTCCAACTTTTTTAAGTGTTTATACAATAAGCACTTATTCAATTTTTTTCTTCCAAAATTATCCCTAGTTGAATTTTAAAATACCACTTATAAAATTATCCCTTGTTGAATTTTATAAAAGTACTTAGTACTTCTATAAAAGTACTTTTATGAAAGCACTTTAACCAAAGTACTTTTTTAAAAGTGATTTCATAAAAGTTCTTTCATAAAAATACTTTTGCAAAAGTACTTTCGTAAAAAGTATTTTCGTAAAATTACTTTCATAAAAGTGCTTTTGTAAAAATGCTTTTCACAAAAGTACTTTTGTAAAAATACCTTCATAAAAGTTTTTATAAAAGTACTTTCATAAAAGTGTTTTTATAAAAACATTTTATTAAAAGTGTATTCAAAGACTACCAAATGCCCAATATAAAATAAGTACAATTATTTTAAGCACTTATTTTTAACTTAAGCACTCCCAAACATGGTCTAACTTAAAAAAGGCGGGTCCATATTGTGAGAGTGAGACATGATGTGGACCAAAGGCCAAATGGGCTTGTTACCCTTTGCAAATGACACACCATGGTCCGTAAGCATTACATTCATGTGATGTCTAGACTTTGACCCTCTAGTAGCATATCATCTTCGGTTGCCCAGTTCATTGCCCACTTGCCTTACCCTAAATCTAGGGATGGCAACAGGGCGGGTTTGTGGAGGCTTTTGTAGATTTTAGATTCTATTGGTCTTTTTAAATCTCCCAATTTGTATTCGTCTCAAAACCTATAGTGGGTTGGATTTTGAGAATCCAAACTTTTTTCATACATTAAAAGTGAAAAACCTTCCTCAATCCTATCCTCCTTTACATAAAATTCAAAATATTATTAAATTCAACATCTAATACATAAAGTTTATATTCTTTCCAACAATATATGGGTTGGGGAGGGTCGATTTATCCTACTACCATACCCTATTCATACTAGTGCGGGTTGTAAAATTCCAAAACCCATCCTTCAGGCAAAAAAACACCCACCCTATTAGAGAGGGTAAGGGTGGGAACCTATTGGAAAGGAAGATACCATCTATGCCCCACAAGGTGTGCCCCATGAACATGCCACAGCACATCCCAATTTTGTATTGAGAACATCTCCCAATAACAAATACAGGAGATGCTCCAAATGTAAAATGTGCATGTGGGTTGCCTCCTCTGTGGGGGTAGGATAGAAATTGCCATCCCTATTCAAATTCTTAATCCCTGCTTTCTTTTTTACAATATATTAGATGGAGTTCAGATCAGCCCCAACATCTCTCGATGATAATACTAAAAATGATATCATCATAAAATAATGTTCTCAATACATGACGGGGATGTGCTGTAGGACGTTGTGGGGGCAATCTTGTAGGGGGCTGATTTTATCTTTATTAAATGTTGTTGTCCTCCACCACATACACTCATTTGTCTTTTTGCTGCGGTGTTGCCATAGGTAGGGGTGGGTTCGAGCCGAGTTGAGCCGAATAGTATAAGGCTTGTGCTCGGCTTGAGACTGTTCTACAAGGCTCGAGCTCGAGCTCAGTTCAAGCCAGAACCTTGAGCTCGAGCTCGGCTCGGTTCGAGCTCAATTTTGAGAAAAATGTTTTATAAAAATAAAAAAATTATATATAAAAATATTTTTTATTTGATATTTAAAAATTAAGAATTATAATAATTAATAATTATAATATTTTTATTATATATATTATTTTCTATAA